CATTAGAACAATCTCCACGAAAATGGTAATTGTAATATTAATTGTTTCATTATAAAGAAACAATCGGTATTTTTTGACTGATCAGCCAAGGATATATTTGTTTGATATTTACTATTGTCCAGTTCACACTCTTCCCCATTCTTTTGACCAGGAGTAGAGGTTTATATCGTGTTATCTGGAATAGAAGTGAAGTAATGGATAGTGGCACAGATTGAGGAATCGGGGAGACGAGTTCGAATTCCAGTCGATTCCATTACATTCATTATGTGCTAATACTCTTTGAAAGGTTATGAATCCTCTTCTTCTCCCCACAGCTATGGGTAAATAGCAGGACAGACCGGGTTCTATAGCCTTGGATGGCAACTGGTTTACCACAGAAAGAAATGGCAACCTACTGCGGGAAAAAATCTACCTCGTCAGTCATGTATCGAAAGATACATGATCGCCTAAACGTGTATCAGGCATGGCTCATAACTGACTGACTGTTTTGGATTGGGTTTCCATATAATTCTAAAGTGTTTTCATTCTCTTTCATTCCTAGTAGCCACCCACCCACTTGCGTCCTAGTAGCATTATCTATTTGTTTGGGCGAGTTGACTCAAAAAAAATGTCTAACAAAACTCGTATTTGACTTCATTAAAAATATTATAAAAATGTCGTCATATACATCCTGTATATCAAAAGTTTCAAACTTCTACGATGCTGAGTGTTGAAGGGGAGATACTTGATCAATGTGACCATAAAATCAATGCAAACACCAACTTTCATTGTGAGAGCACCAGGCAACAGATTACTAGCTTAATGTTTAACTGTCAGCATAAGATTAGGAAAAGTCCTTATCTATAGCTTACCAAGAAATGTTATTCAGGGTAGTAGATGATATTAAGCTACTGGCAACTAGAAACAAAATAACTCATTTATACACACGCACACTCATATATATATTTATATATATATTATATATATATATATATATATATATATATATATATATATATATATATATATATAATGAAATGGATTAAGTCCGACAATTGTTTAATCTATTTTCTGTTTATACGTTATGTTTATAGATACGATTTATTTAATTATGTCCTAGAAACCATATTTTCTACGAAATCTCTCTTACATTCAGGCCGTTAAATGTAAATATAAGTAATACTGTTTAATTAAAAAAAAACAGAGCATTGACTTAAATAAACTGTATCACGTATAAACAGAAAATACATAAAATAATTGTCCGACTTAATCCATATCGTTATATGTTGTCATTGTTTACGTTAAGATACGTTTCGTGTGCTGATATGATCGTTCGAGAAAAATCGTCGAAGATTGTGTGTTTAAAAACAATAATTTAGACTTTGCTAACCAGACATCTTCTCTGTAGCTAAATGGTATAGCACATCAGATCAAGAACAATTTTGAAAGAAAAGATGTATGACAATTTGGATTGGAAACAAATTTTGTGACGCGTTTCATCCGTTAAGTCTTAATCTGGGTTTGCTTATGTTGCTGCAGCTGCGCATGCACACGAACGAGAGATGCTGGGAATTTAAAAATTTAGAAATAATTATTTTTTTTTTTTTGCTTACAATCTAGCTAAATTTGAAAATCTGCCAATACAAAAACAAAACAACGATCCAAAACTTGAAGGAGGAATTTACTTTATCACCAGCTAGGATTGCTAGAAAAATATATTGGAGAAACCTCAAGAAATTTAGAAGAAAGTTTATATGATCACAAAAGAGACATTTTTGTCAAAAAAAAAACAGGAAAAACGCATTGATTGTTCACCATAACAGAACTGACCACAGTTTGGGAATAAATAATTTAAAGAGAAAAGAATTCACTAAAACGAACATGTCTAGAAAGTACTTTAATCACTAGTTCATCTACAGTAAATTTACCTCCAGATTTTTACAAAGTTTCATCATTCTTGGCAAACATGGGCTCACGATAAAATAATCGTCGTCTAATTCAACACTTAAAAAAAAAAAACTAACATTAAATCCTATGGTGTATCGGCACTGATAAGTAGGGCAGTAGTCTTGCGCCGTAGTTGGCGAGAGGCTAACAACTGCTTCGGTATGGCAAATATTTCTAGTTGAAACAATTGACATTATAAAGCTGTACTAAAGTTTTCAATTTAATAAAACTGTTTTTCCTTCTTGGTATTCACATTAAAATGCAATATTCAAGAGATGATTACATTTGATGATTCGTAAAATGTCCGCTGAGCAACACAAACAAGTAACATAAACAAATCTTTCGTTCTTCATTTTTATAGCTATGAGTGCATTCACACCAATCATTATTTCTCATAGTAGTGTTAAATAACAATATTTAGCATGACATACAATCCATATATCTAATTAAATTTCATTATCATTGTGGTATTAAATAAAATCAATATGCTATTTTTCAGTAAGGTTCATTATACAGTATTTTTTGTGATGTTAAGCGACAAAATATTTAAGATGCCTCGAAATCTTTATTTATCATTACAGAATTAAAATGTAGGACACCCACATAATTAAAACTCCTCACAATTTCTATGATCATCACTATCTGAAGCAAAGAGCTCATCATAAATATAGTATTTATAGGTCATAGTTGGTTGTCTTATACTACAGCTGTCAGATAAAATCACAAATATTTACCTAGATTTTGGCTCTCGTCTTATCTATAGATCGCCTTATACATGAAAATATACAGTATTTACATTTGGACTAAAGTCCTCGTCTCTGTTGTTATAATGATAACATTCATCAGGTGTCTACCAATCGAGTTAACCTTCAAGGAATAATTAATTTAATCAACAACTGCCTTGGTATAGTAATTATCAATGTGAATATTTCGCTCACTGGGGTAGACTGTTCTGTGCCATGGGTCCTCAAGGACCCATGGCACAGTGGATAAACGTGTTGGTTAGATCCAGTGACAGGACCTAAAGAGTGTGAGTTCAATACCCGGTTAAGGCAGAGGAGAACTTTCAGAGGGAAATTAACAGGAGATAACTGATAACTGACATCCATCAAACATGGCGCGTGGAACTAGAACTGTCTACCATAGTGAGCGAAATAAAGGGTTCAGTTCGACATTCCAACCACCTGAAGAAGGCCGGAGCGTACAACGGTCGAAACGTTGTGATAAATATGGTGACAAAGATAAGGACAAGCATCATTTTCCGTTATAATATTTAATTTCTTTTATTTTATGTGCCGTATCCCTACAGGGCACGAGCGAAAATGGCTCTCCACATCTTCCTATTCTTTGTAGCTCTAAGCATTGTGTGACCGATCCTGTTACCCGCTGTCTCTCAAGATGTAGAAAAGAGTAACCCATTAGAAGTGAAGAAAGTAAAAGACCTTTTTTTTTCTGTCTACTGAAAAAAAGAAAAAGAAAAGAAAATGAAAAAGTACTGGCGCTATCACCTCACTTGCCTTGCAGATTCTTAAAAAGTACTTATACAGTACTGACGGACATTGTTTCACATTTGATTCTTTGTATGCAAATATATTTCTGACCGCGGGACACCACGGGGTGGTGTAATGGTAAGCAAGCTTGTCTCGCTAGATCAATTACGGCTGATTAATGAGTTCGATCCTCACTGGGTACCTCCATATTTTCGTCCTTGTGCCACATCTAAGCTACGCTTTGAAAATAACTATACTTCTGACCGCGCGGCATTATTTGCTTTGCTATATTTTAATCATTTCACCCCAAGCAAGTGGATCATACCCCGAAGACGCAAGATGTTACTGAGAAAGAAAGAGAATGAGAAGAATGTAGTGAGTAGAAAGGACAATAAAAGAACAGGCTGGATGGAGACAAAAGATGGCGATTGACACTGTATTTAATTTTTGAAAGTTGTAGTTAGCAGAGAAACAAGAAACCGGAAGAGAGTTCCACAAGTTAGAAGTACGATAGAAGAAACTATCAGAAAAGAACTTACGGTTGCATCTAGCTATTTCAACGGTAAATCTATGTGGCTAAATAGCCAATATAGTAGTATGCTTAAATTTACGCGATCGAAGTACCAAGAAGGAGAGCCATTTTTATTTTGAAAATACAAAAATATGGCACAAGGCCAAAAGGGTGATGGGGAAGGCTGGTCTACAATCTGTCTTATCTTAAACTTAGCTAACCACAATTATTGACCAAAAAAAATTATATTGATTGCATCAAAACAAAACATTCTTATTTACCATTCTTACTACAGTCACCATAATACCACAAAGTCTCTATGAAATCCGAACTTGTTCCGATATGTACAATTTGTTTGTGGGAGTGGAGAATAAAAATAACCACTTAAAATGAAAAAAAAAACAAGGAGGAGAGCTCATTAGAACAACTGTCATGAAAATATTTACAGAAAGTCAGAGGGAAGAAATTTCACGGTAGTGAAAAACCTGCTTGCAGTCCTGATGCCAAGTTAGGATCAAATAATCTTAGAGACCCTTCTTTGGATTATGAATCTTTAATATAAAGTTAACAAAAACTAAAGTTTAACAAATTTCTACTTTTATTTTTCAAATATAAATTTATGGTATGCAAAATAAATATAAAATACCTCATTATTTTTATTAAAACTTATTTTAAGTTATTAATTTTTCTCTCAAGATGAAATTTGTTATTTTCTAGCAGTTAAAGCCAAAATTAAAACGTCTGTTTGATTAACACTTTTAAATTTTATTTGTTAAAATATATTGTGTAATTGCGGTCTTGAAAATGAAAAAATAAACTATATGTCATACAGAGATAGAATTGTTAAAAATTGAAAAATAAAAACCAGAATGTCTTTGAAATAGTGACTGATCGGGTTTGTCTTGACACCAATTTTAATTAATTGAAGAAATGCTGTTGGCAATTGTATTTATTTTTCTTCTACGTTAAATAGAATTCTGGAAAAAGTAAAAAAAATATTGATTTAGAAAATTTGAGAGCAAGTAATGAAATTTAAATTTTATCAAACAGATGCCCTTTGGGATGTAATATCTTTATCGAGATAGATAGATAGATAGATAGATAGATAGAGAGAGAGAGAGAGAGAGAAATGTGAAGAGAGAGAGAAACAGAAACCGATTGAAATACAGACAAGCTAGCACATAGATAGATAGATAGATAGATAGAGAGAGAGAGAGATAGATAGATAGATAGATAGATATATATATAGAGAGAGAAATGTGAAGAGAGAGATAAACAGAAACCGATTGAAATACAGACAAGCTAGCACATAGATAGATAGATAGATAGATAGATAGATAGAGAGAGAGAGAGATAGATAGATAGATAGATAGATAGATAGATAGATAGATAGATAGATAGATAGATAGATAGACTGAGGTAGATGAACTCACTGAAATAGAGATATATATCGATAAATAGATGAATATGAACACACTGAGATAGATAGATAGATAGATAGATAGATAGATAGATAGATAGATAGATAGATAGATAGATAGATAGATAGGTACGAGTGGTTGCCGTATAGTTCTTGGCTTCACCCAGGAATCCTTCCAAACATCTAATATTTGGTTATATTTTAGGAAGATAGATAGATAGATAGATAGATAGATAGATAGATAGATAGATAGATAGACTGAGGTAGATGAACTCACTGAAATAGAGATATATATCGATAAATAGATGAATATGAACACACTGAGATAGATAGATAGATAGATAGATAGATAGATAGATAGATAGATAGATAGATAGATACGAGTGGTTGCCGTATAGTTCTTGGCTTCACCCAGGAATCCTTCCAAACATCTAATATTTGGTTATATTTTAGGAAGATAGATAGATAGATAGATAGATAGATAGATATGAATATAATGAGATAGATAGATAGATAGATAGATAGATAGATAGATAGATAGATAGATATGAATAAGTTGATTTTGTGAAGTAGATCGACAGAAGGAGAATAGAGAGGAGGGGGACACAAGCAGAGGAATCTTTAAAGGAATGTTTTTTCTCTTTGATTTTTTTCATTATTTTTTTTTTATTTTATTCTAATTTATCCTACTATCCTTTGTTCATTTTTTATTTTGTAAATATATATTTTTTTTCAAATTGTTTCTAAATTTTATTACTTTTTTGCATATTTTCAAATGCTAGTTTCTTTTACGCCTGAAAAAAAAGATATATTTTCTGCCACAAACTAATTTAAATCGACAGTCGGGAAACGAAATAGTTATCCGTGATTTATCCATCAGAATGTATACCCCTCAAAACATTTGTAATGTCAGGGAAGACTTTTGATGGACGATACATTGTAAACCTGTAGAAAATGGTGACTACGCTGGATATGAATTTTATATGCCTTTTGTGCATAGAAATTTCTGTAATAATAATAATTAATATTATTATTATTATTACGTTACTACTACTACTATTACTACTACTACTAATACTAATACTAATAATAAGCGGAGTATAACATAGCTACAAAGGAATTTAATAAACTATCGAAGTTTAAAGATATGTTAATCGAAATATAAAAAATGTGAAAATTGTAAACATAGTACCAGTCATAATAGGTGCGCTTGGAATGATAAAAAAGGAACACAACAACACATTGAAAAAATCCCTGGAAATTACAGCTTAAGAGAATTACAAAAAAGTTGACTTGATAAGTACAGCCCACACACTAAAAACTTTGTCCATGTAACGCTAGTGATGTTATGGGAGTTAGAAAAACAAATCATGAAATGTAGCCATAACAATGTACTACTACCTACCTTTGGTTTCCCGCAGACTTGGTAGGTAGTTTGACCATAGCAGAAATCGAAATAATAATAGCAATAATAATAATATCTGATTGACACCTACAGAGTACTTACAGTGACATCATAGGGAAGCTCAGTACATACATTGGTTAATATATCTCTAATTCAACTAATTCAATTCGGTAATTGGTCAGAACATAAGCCATCACATGTTGTGCAAAACGATAAAATTAAAATCATCTCGAATTTCAATGTTCAGACTGGTAGGTTAACTGAAGCAAATCGACCAGTTATAATTGTGAAAAATCATGTTCGAAACAATCTTCTGACAGATGATGCAACCCCATCCAACAAATAGTTGAAAACGTTTGAGAAAGGTAAGCACAAAATGTTCTAGATAGAAATCAGAATGCACCAATGCTACCTGTTGTTATTGGTGCCCAGGGAATTATATCAAATTGGGCCGTCAAAGATTGGATCGAATACCTGTTAGAGCAACAATACTCGTATGTAAATTGCAAAAGAAAATACTCATTGGTGTGGAAGAGAGCAATGGTCACCCTTGAAATATTAATAATTATAGTAATATAGAATTTTGTTTATAGATGAGAAAGATAATTTGTGATGAACTTTCTGCCCAGAGAATCTGTGTTTCGTCAGAATTATTAATATAAAATGTCAAAACAATAGTGTTTATATGAACTATGGAATACCAATTGAGTAGAAGTGACTGTTCATTTAATCAGGAAGGAGAGGTCAGAAATCAGGTTGTATTCTATGTTTACCAACACCCCGGTTTTTTTTTATCGCTACCACCGCGTTTACTTGAGCGCGTGTTGTGCGCAAACCAACAGTTGAAGTTGGATGTCGAACTGAGTGATGTGAGTTGACAAGCAGTCGAAATCGAGAGAGATAGGCAGTGAAAGTGAAAGCGTCCGCTTGCTGCTTTAATAAGGGAGGAAGGGAACTCAAGTTATCTTCAATATTGGCGCAATATTGCCACCAGTGAACCCCCCTTATATCCTGATAGTGAAAGAATTATGGCCACTACTAAGAACAAAAAGGGTGAACCCGAAAGCAAGCTACTTCTCTACTTTCAGAATTATTTGCAATATTTTTTTGATGTTTTTTACTTTTATTTTTATTTTTTGGACTTTATTTAATATATACTACTTTCTTTTAAAAGAAGCATTATTCTTTTTGTACCAATTTTTCTTTATATACATATACATATATTTTTCTTTGGACTCGAATCGACTTGTTCATATTTGATTTTTCTGATTGGCCCGATTCTCGCCCCAACGAACTTGCAGGTAAAACAGCTGAATCTTCCGGGATCTACGATTTGTTAATTGTTCTCCAGTATGAAAAAGAAAATCACAACGTGGTTCGAAATTGGAATCGAATCGACATTGTGCACCGGAGACTTTGACTGAACCTGTAATACTAGACCAGGACAAGACCAACGGCCGGTCTTGTACAGTACATCGATCCAGTAGTGTCAGGATAGGTGTTACATGAGGACATCTTACGTCATACGCACATTTATTTCGATAAAATGTTCCCAAGTACATTTTTTTCTCTGATTGCATGGCATCACAAAGAAGAATGAAAAATTGAAATTTCTTTCAAAAAATGTGTAAACTTCTAAGTTTAATCATATTTCCTCCTATTATCATTATTTTGATAAACTACATCTAGGGGCAAGGACTCTGATCGGGGGGTTGGGGTTGAGGAACGTGGAACCACCTATTACTTGCTGTTGTTCCCAGATTCACCATGTCTCAGGGTGGTACCACTTGTTAAGATCCCAGCTATGGACAAATAGTGAAAACCAAACTGGGGTCAAAACCTGAAAATATAAGATTTAATCAGAAAAAAAAATTACCTGCAATATATTATTGAAAAAAATTACCAAAGCTCACAAGAGAATAAAATTTCGGCATTAAATGATCTATCAGGAATTGATGTTAAACAAACCAAGCCATTAAGCAAACAAACTAAACCAAACCAGCTTTCTCTTTAAGGAGAAGTAATGGCTGCTGGGTCTTAATATAACTGGAATGTGGATATATATATATATATATATATATATATATATATATATATATATATATATATATATATATATTCCCTATTGATTACTTGGTTATTCTTAATTTATTGTTATTCATAACTTGTGCACACAATTTACACGTTGGTCTTCAATTGGCTTCGAAGGGCGAGTCTCAGAAACTGCTTAGCCTTTATTTTGTTATTTTCTTTATTTTGTTTATTATTGTTATTGCTTCGATTCAATTCTTTACGGCGATTTATTTTATTTTTTCTTGCTCTTCTCCCCCTGCTGATTTTTTTTTCTTTGAGGTCACGGCATCGACACGACTTTTTCTATAATTTAAAATATATTCCATGCATTAGTGAGTGTCAATTTTTGATTCTTCTTCTTAGTAAAACACTCAAACACTCACAATTGCTCGATAATACCTGGGTTCCTTGCATTTACTGGCTTCTTTAACTTAAACCACAGATTTTACAATTGGTCTTATATAAGGGACTTTGACTATGTCATTCCAAGACTTGATATTTCTTTTATCGAACCAATTCTTTCGTGATTTTGCTTTAATGCTTGGGTTCATTGTTCTTCTGGAAGATCCAACCGCGACGTAAACCCGACTATCGAACCGAGAGACTTTCGTTCAAAATTACTTGGTACCTTTCAGCGCCCATTGTCCCGTCAAGGCATACTATTTTGCCTGTTCCTGCTGCAGCAAAGCACTCCCCAAATCATAATGCTCTCACCACCATATTTAACTGTTGGCACTAAATTCTTTCCATCAAAAGTTGTATTAGGAGCTCGCTGGACATGACGCCTATCGTTACTCTCCAAAAACTCCAGTTTGGTTTCATCCGGTCATCAAACCTTTTACCAGAACTTTTTTAGTTTATTAATTTAAGTTTTGGCATAGTTGAGATGAGCTTGTTTATGCTTTATCGTAAAAAGTGTTTTTTTTTATTCTACGCATTTTTGCCATGAAGATAGTCATCATTCAGATTTTCGTCGCACTGTAGACGTATGATTCCGATATTTACCAAGGAGACTTGGATAACCACAGAGGACACAGTAGGATTCACCTGGGCTTGCCAAACCAGATGCCTACTTGCTCTTGCAGTTACTTTTTCGCGGGCGGACATTTCTTGATTGCGACGTCGTCATACCAAAGGTCTTCCATTTATAAATAACTAGCAGTAGAGCCCGGCGTTGCCCAGCGATGTATCAGTAAGAGAAAGATCAAGTATCGACCATCATAAAGACTGAAAAATAAAATTGACAAAGATTATTGTTTAAGGTTGAAGGACACGCATGTCTTAATTAGTTTTTTTTGTTTGTTTTTTTTGTTTTTTTTTACGAATTGGTCAAACCCAAACTCAAACAAAAACATTGTTTTCAATCTTTATGTGTCTACCAATTGAATAGAATTTTATTATAAACAATTGTCTTGTAAATGGAATTTTTAAAGCATTCTGAATGTAAAAATAAAGAAAAAAGTGTGCAAGACAATAAGAAACACTACCTGCGAAAAAAAAGTTTTGTCGAAATCGGTTGAAAAATGTAGGAAATCCGATCACATATATAAACGAACACACACACACACACACAACCTGGGTTTTATAAGTATAACTCGATATAAGTTGTTCCCCTTTCGTTCTGGCGACAGAATCGTGTTTTCAAATTGATTTCGTGCAAAAACAATTGTGTTTTTCCCATTTGGGGCGCTGTCAGAACCAACGCAAGGTAATTTTACGTAGTCCTGTTTTGTTGAAATCGGTTGAAAAATGTAGGAAATCCGATCCAATATATAAACATACAGACACATACACACACACACACAATCTGCGTTTTATAATTAGTAAGATTTGTCACGCAATGGAGATGTGAACTCCAAATGGCTTGATAGTTTTTGTAGACATATTATTATGCGATGTTTTTAAAGCTTCATGAAGTTATGATCTTGGCATATATATTTTTTTAAAATTTAGTTTCTAACTATACCCTTTTGTTATAATGGTTGACTGCACTATACACAGCTTACCAAAAAATGAACAAATGCAATTTTGATTTTTACACGCGTACAAAAAATCCTTTGCACTGGTATCCATGTAAAATAAAAATACAGAGTGTAAATGTAAGGTTTAATTTTTAATTTATATTTCTCCTCCAGCTGGATAAAAAGATTTGAAAGTGGTTGGAATTCGTTTAAAGGTTTTTCTTAACCCTAGTACACTAACCATCAAGTTAAAGTTACACCACTACTCACCATGGGTATATCATACCCCATTTTGAAAATATCAAAAAAATATTAAATATAAATCTTTATTCGTAATATTTTACGTGTAGGCACTTCAAACTTTGTACTTTGAGTTAACCTTAATAGGAACTGAAAAATATATTATTTAGGTAAGAAAATCAGGTACTGAATATTGTAATTAAAAATAGGAAAATTTGCGCTGGGTACTATATACGCATATTTAGTGTTCTAGGGTTAATATATATATACTTTAATTTTGATTATTTGGAAAAGAGTGACAATAAAAAAATACTACTATCGTAGGAGTTCAATTACTTTTGCGCAGCACTGTATAAGAAGAAGAATAGAGTAACCCTGTCTATATTTTGATCTGCTTCACTTTGTTTCAGTGCAGTTGGTGTTAAAAGGTAACCGTAATTCTGTATTTTGTCCTCTTCTGCTAAAGTGAAATACAGTTTTGTTTCTGCATGAAACGCTATCTGCGATATCATTAGTTTCATAATGTCAACAGGAAAAAAAATGTGATTTCTAAAGGACTTCTAATTGAAATAAAAAAAAACGCCTGAGATGAAAGCTCATAAGATCAGATCCAGGTATTTCTCCTACCTATCGAAGGAACCCCACCTTCACCGACCCTGTCTTCAAGAGTGTAGCCGCACTCCCCTCGATTGGCCAATTACAGGTTCTTTCTTTTTATGTACCATGTTCTTTCAGGATGTAGGTGATCATGGCTCTCCACCTCCCTCTATCCCTTGCAGCTATCAACAAATTCATTCCCTCTGCTTCCTCCCCCAGAGCACGTTCTGTCATCCACTTGCTTAAGTCCGCCAGGTATGTCACGCGTTGTTTTCCCTTGTCTCTCTTTCCCTCTATTCGACCCGTGAGTATCAGATACTCCAGGCCCTCTTTCCTCATTATGTGTCCCAGAAAATTCAGCTACCTCTTTCTGATATTAAGTATAAACCTCCTCCTTGTTTGCTACCTCTCTAAGACCTCATCATTACTCACACACTCGATTCATGATATCCTTAGCATCCTTCTGTAGAACCACATCTCTGTCGCCTCGAGTCCCTTCTTCATCTTTGACGAAATCGTCCAATATTCGCTGCCTGAAAGAAGAACAGGTATCACGTAACAGCTCAGTATTCTATTCTTTGTTAACAAAGAACTCCTCCTGTATCGCAATACTCTGCCCAGCATTTGGAATGCGTCCTTGACCATCCCAATACGTCTACGGATCTCAGTGTTGCACTTACCGTCCTCTGTCAGGACGCTTCCCAGATATTCAAACTCCTGAGTCTGCTTGATTCTAATGTTCCTGACCTTCAAATCGCCTTTCAGGCTCATCCTCTTACTGATGACCATGCACTCAGTCTTCTTGTAGTTTATGCTTAGTCCTTTCTTCTCACTCTCCGTCGCTAACTTCTGTAGGAGATGTTGTAATTTGGTTAACTAGTTAACATGGAATAATTATTATTATATAAATCTGATGTAATATTGGAGATGACCAAATCCCAATTCAAATGCAGAGACTTCTCACTCCTGTTGAAAAGAACCCCTCCCTGGTTAACCATATCATCAGTGGTGGAATAATTATTGTTATATAAATTTGATGTAATATTGGAGATGACCAAATCC